ATGGGTCTAATAATTAGCAAAAACACAACTTTGCACGTGCAGCACACTTTTTTTGTACATTTCTCTGCCGTTGTTGTGCACGACTACAACGTGAAACTTCCAGAAACTTCCTAGTTACACGTTTTATGGAGGAAATTTTGTATGTATTCCTGTTCACTTTTTTTTTTCGCTGCCACTAATTTTCATCTTGGAGGCCGCTAGCATTTCTAATTTTCTCACCGCCGATATAAAATTTTCAAGTTATTCTTCCAAGAAATTGGTCTCCTTTGTTTTTGATCTCTAGCTCTTTCTCTGTTATCCACGTCAATATCGTCAACTATAGTCCATTGGGACTTCGAAATAGCGGGGTTCAACTGTACTTCGGTTAGATAATTAAAACCTCTTCTATATTTTCAGTTACTTATAAATTGTACTAGTGGCGGAGTTTATGTGAATTCATGTAAATTTATACCTTGATTTTAGTAGGGCCTACCCCCAAAAGTGATTGACGTGCTGAAGTAAAAAGACATTGGGGTCATAACGGAATAATATTCGCTCAGTGTTGGAAAGTGAAAGTTAAAAGCTTATTTTTGGAGGGCTTATATTAACCAATTGGGCTAGCCTTATAGTTAGTAAATTTACCGTTTTTGCTTTGTTTTAATTTGAGGGCAAAAACCTCGGGGGTTATATTTGGAGGAGCGTTTAACGGATTTTAAATTTTTAAAATTAACAGTTAACTGAGAATTGGCCGTTTAAAAATAGTAGTTAACTGATATTTGGCCAAAAAATTAGTAGTTAACTGAGAATTGGGTAACCAAAATTAACCCCAAAAATTAGTACCCTCTTAAATGTTTTAAGTGGTAATGACAAGGAAGCCGAAATAGAAGCCGGGGACTTATACACTATAGGCTTCCTGGAACTATAAGGTAAACCATGGGAGTTAAGTGTACTGAATGAAAAATGGATTAAGTTTTAAAAATAAAGAAAAAGAAGAGGTGTGTAGCTCAACAACGAGTATATTTGACTAAGAAAGAAGGGATCTTTGAATTCTTTCGCCAAACAAACTTATGCTTTCACTGTTTTGAATTTCACGACTTAGCGAGTTAAAAAACTTAGGACCTTGAAACCGAATTGAGAATTTCCGAAAATTAGTTCGACAACGAGGTATATAAAAAAGCGCTGGAATTTCTTGTATCATGCAAATGTATCTGGCTTGCAAGAGTAAACATATCACGAAAATAATAATAGTGATCAAGAAAAGGGTACTTGACAACCTCGTCCCCAGAGCTTTTCCGTTTTTCTATAGGAAAAGTATTGGGGACGAGGTTAATTATCCGGGGTACACTTTTTAATATCTTTTTCTTAAGAGCTCCAACCTCGTACCCAGAGCTTCTCCTCCCCTTCCGTTTTCCAAGCGAAGTAAAACATGGCGTAGACAAAAGCAAATAAGAATTTTGCTCCTTGGACATGGTTGTTAATCAAAAACAAAACACAAACAGCAGTAATAACATTGGGGACTTACGCATTTTTATATCAACTAACGTATACTAGACCAAATAAGTGACCGTTACAGCCGATTATGACAAAAACTATTTAAACAACAGTGACCACACCCTAGCCCTAACCACTTTTGAAATGGATAGTTTTTGTCAGTCGGTTTTTCAAAAAATATATTATTTTCCTTTGTTTCTGGATATGGAATTGACTGTTGACTAGCTATACTAATCAATGAAAATTTCTATATTTAAAAGAAAATACTACTAAGTGGCTATGATTTTTAGCGTCTACACAAGATATACATATAGCTGGAAGTCTCTCGACGTAACTGCCCTTTTACTACAGAACCTTTAGTTGGGATAAGCAATGAATTTGTTATATATAAAGGTTATAAGATTGACGATACTAAGATAAAAGCTCCAAGAAATAGCTTAACAAGGGACACTGCTTTTGTCGCGGCCGCTCTCACGTTAGGCATTGTTGAAGGTGATGACGTTGTCGGCACTTTGGGAACGGCATCCGCTGGACACCATGTAAACTCGGGGGGAACACGCCCCCATTCCGGATTCAATTTTCTCGCAGTAGGTCGGAAAACGTTCCTACCAAAGTAACCAGCAATGTTACCCTCGGGGTTGTATTTGATAAGAATAGCAAGTCTCTTGTCTTTAAGCAGGGTCCAAGCAGCTCCAATTTGTGTTGGGTTTTTCCAAATAAGCTAAGACAAAATAAAAAATACGGGATTGTCAGAAGCAGTGCTTCACCGCCCACACAAAGCACTGTTTCTATAAAACCTGCTCGTAGGCAAAACCCAGGTCAATGCCGTCAACAAACCAGTCACCCAATTTACGTACTGTATAAATTTCATAGGCAGGAGCTCATTTAAGATAAATGACTGTGCATAAATAAGAGTTCTGAAGGGAATGAAAAAACGGTTTTTAATTTGAGTGACTGGGACTAAGATTTGGTCTGTGCCCGTGGGAATAGTATTAACCCTTTCGCCTTCAAAAGTGGCCAAACTCAAAATTCACGCCATTTTCTAAACTGAATGTTGTAAATTGCTGAAAGACTAAGCGGCATTTGAAAAGTAATCCAAAGAGGTTGTATTGTTTTATTTGAAGGTTTACACCACCTCAGAGCCATAGGATGTGGTCCACCGACTAGAAAATTAGAAACACCTTTCAAGAATTCATCATTCACTTAGCTGAAAGAAAACGAATTAGACTGGAAGAATAATAAGTCATTTTTCTAACCTACATGACAGCTCTCTTAGCCGTCATGTAAATGCCGCGAGAAATCAAGCGTAATCTATCACAAAGACCAAGAACCCTTTTGAAGCGAAATTTGTATGAAAATTAGTTTTCAGCTTCTCTAATGCATCGTGAAAGTAAAATGTCGGTAGGATCGATAGTTTTTTAGTTTGAATTTTAGTGACGTCATGTGAAAATAATAACAATATCAATACATAATCAAGAAAAAAGGTTTAGAGGCCACCTGAGGAATAATACTTTGACCTTTTATCAAATTCTCCCAACTCATTCTTTAGGAAATGTATGGAGATCAGTCTCGAGAATTTGTGTGTAGGTCGGGATAACAACGCTTTCGTTTAATTTTACTCATTAGTATCTGCTTGCTTTCACTGATTCGCGTTTAAATCATGATCAAATCAGTTCATAACATTAAACCAGCAAAGATTAAAGACCCAATAACCAAGTAAAGACTACAGATCATCCCTTTTCCAGCTGCAGGCTCCGTAGGATCCGTGGTTGGTCGTACTGGGCACCATGTAAACTTGGGTGGAGTGTAAGGCCATTTAGAACCTAGAGTACGAGCAATGGGTGGCAAAACGTTTTTACGGAAGTAACCGACATAGTTGCCTCCTGGGTTGTATTTGATAGAAACAACAAGTCTCTTGTCTTCGCGAATGGCCCACGCTGCCCCAATTTCTTTGGAATTTCTCCAAACCACCTGAAAATAAAAAACAAACAAACCAAAGAATGCTGAAAGTGACGAAGTTCTATTTTAAATTTTAACCCAGGCATCAGGAAGCACAAGTAGTCTGCTACACAGCCGTTTTCAGAGTCGTCACGCAACGCTTCCTCTTGTGGGAAGGAGCCCTGCGTGACGACAATAAAAACGGCTGTGTAGCAGACTAGAAGTACGAGCAGCACTAGAGTAATCCCACAACAGCAAGCCACACCGCACTATTCTGCCTCTATTATCACTGAAGTGATGGGCGTTACGTATGTGGCTGCTGAATGTGTTGTCAATTTGCCCAGAATGCTATAGTATCCCCATGAGCCTAACAAGCTTTAAATCATGCGCCGAGTCCGATCCCATAATTCACCACAAATTTGAAACAGTCAGAAAAGGGAAAATTTTTGAAAGAATAATAACATCATTTATTCATCAAACTATTTCATTCAATGTTTATTCCAGCACGAAATATATTGATCATACCGTAGTAAAATGTCCCGCTGCTTCACTGTAACCGGGTCTACTGTAATTATAAAACTTTTCCTCCCAATGGAACCACTGTACAGCATCACTGCAATACTCTGCGGGGTAATCGTTAGGATGGGACATGTATAGGTTGCCAGGATTCTTTTTGCTATGATGAAACTTGTTGTTTTCTGCTAGATATTTGACCCAGTCCTCCGCTTCTTTCTGAAGACTATTCGACCAAGTGACATTGGGGACCTGAAAAAAAAATTTAACCCTTTAAAATAGAAAGTAGACAAAATATACCTCTTTAGTTTGAGTGTTTTTTCCCAATGAAGGTCATGTAATGTTGCTTTAGAGAACTGTTACCCTCAAGTGGGAGTTGCGTGGTCGGAGGGTCGTTAATTTAAGAGAGGTCTCCTACTATAATTATTTAATTTAACTAGGAGCATTTGGGTGTTTTGGGCAGATAGTCGTTTATTGATTGAGAGTTGGTCGCACATAGAGGTTGGACAGTGTCACCTTTTTTTTCGGTTGGGGTGTAGGCTCATTTCTAGAACGCAAAAATCATGAGATTATCTCCCTCACATTTAGAACAAATGAAGTTGAAGAAGTTGAAGTTCAGTTGTTCAAGTTTATTGATCTTCATAAGTTACAAATTAAGTTACGTAAATTAAAAGTTGAAGTTTACTGATCTTCAGAAGTTACAAATTAAATATTATCTACAAACAAACATCCCCTGCTCGCAAATAGCTTGGCTAATATTGAGGCAGGCAGAGGAAAATAAAAGTAATTTATAACTGAGAAGAATATATAGAGGAAAGGAAAAGGAAGATAGATCAATATAAAATGACATAAGAAGATGGACTGAATTATGAGATTAACCACCCCTTCAACCCATGATTCCAAAATTGACACCTAGGAATTCCCTTTTTCCAAACCCAATATACAAAAGATCCGTTAAATTTTAAAAATTTCAAACCTATTCTCTGAATTTTCAGCGTAATTCTACTCTAATTCCACAACCTCCGCTAGAAATTACAAAGCAATTTACCTGATGGAGTGTGCGGAAATAGTTGTGCCAATAGATACACTGATTTTTAAAGGACATTTCACTTGTAACTGCAATGAAAATCAGTCCTGTAAGTCATTTATCCAGTAAAAACTTGGCTTTATAAGTTAATAATACCGTGAAAAGGTTCTATGGCTAACGTCTCTAGCTCTCGCTAAGCCAAATTTTTGTGTTTTATTTCCTTAACAACGTAGCCGGTGCCTGTGCGCAGGCAGCTTACTTGGGCGCTTTCGGAGAAAATTTTAGCGACCGATCCGCAAGCGTTAGCCGTCGAGAAGAATGGCTCGGCCTATTCTGCATTCTTTTTGCCGGCTTCGTCAGTTCGCGCAGGCGGTTCCGCAGCCAAAATTTTCCCCAAAACTGCACCGGTGAGCCTGCTACTCTCAGGCTATCACCACGCAGCACAGTTGCTTTTTCAAACACTCTACATATCTGCATTCATAACTTGCAACATCCTGAATAAGGACATTTCGCAACTTAACTCTCTATCTATTTATTCATTAAAGCTATAGAACCCACCCAGAATACTGAGTTATAATTTTTGCTTTTCTAATCTATTACTTTTATTGAACCTTGGACACAATAAATTTTGCCCGACGTTATAGTCCACTGGCTCAGCTTACGTGAGTCGTCTTGTTACTTGTTCATATATGACATATATTATTATTGCTCGGGTCGTTTTCTTTTTTCTCCTCTTATCTAACTTGTTTGAATTAATTTAGAAATATCTTGTCTTAAAGAGCTATTGAGAATGATAAGTAAATTGACAGAATTGAAATCCTACAATCGAGAACGCTTTTGAAGCCCTTCAAAACCCTCCTCCCCTTGGGCGCAAGCGACGCCGTTTAATGCTTATAAAAATGTACGCGATACCGAACGAAAACGAATTAGCGTACGGTGGAACGACCGTTGAAACGTTCAGTCAAGGGGTAAATGACAAGTTTAACCATAGGGAAACATATGGATACGGAGAGATGTATGAGTAGTGTACAGAAATTCAATCAACGTCTTTCCAACGGTCCTTCCTACTAGTCTCTGCCTCGGTGAGTAGAGTAGCCAGAGAGGAGCTTGGGAACGAGGTTGAAATGCAACATTATTGTCATCAATATTATTATCGGTTGTTTACCATTTACCACAAATTCCCGGAAATTTCGGTTGGGAAATAAATGGTAAACGTTTGTTTGGTTCGTCCCACTGGAAAATTCCAGGGGCAAATGGAAATTCTGAAAATGGATTACTATTAACAACACTACGTATTTTCTTTCCGTCAGTGAGAAATAATTTGATTCTACGGATGAGGTTGTCGTGGGCGAGGGCATTCGCAATACGGCAGACCTTGAAAGTAGAGAGGAAGCTACGTCTTTGGCGACGCACCCGTCTAAAAAATACAGGCAAATATGTGGGCACTCAGCAATCTATGCCAGCTTGGTAAAATATGAAAAATGTTTCAACCTCGTTGGCAGAAAGCCCTGGGGACGAGGTTGAAAAATGTTTCACTTTCGGCCATTTTTTCGTTTCCTCCTAATATTTGCGACGAAAACAAAATGTTAAGCACTTCGATTTTATTTGGTTATCCAATTCTAAGTAGATGAAACCTACTTCAGCCTGTACCCATTTTCGTAAGGCATGCATGCTTTTACACAAATTGCTAGAAAGCCTCTATATTTATTTTCTTTTAATATAATCTATAATATATAGATTTAGCCAGGGCTAAAAGCGAAGCTCCCGTTAATAAATTCATAATTTAAATCAAACAATAAACTTGTAATCCACAGATCAGGGCACATTCCTTTGACGTTTGAGGCAAAGGCTAAGTGATTTTAGAGAAAAATAATTTGATAGTCCAAGAGTGAAACAGCTTTTACATCGAGTTATTAAATAGTCTTATTTGTACACCCAAAAATAGCAATCATGTTCGATCACAGTAGATTAGGCCTGGAAAACAAATAGACCTATTCGTGTATTGTATTTGCATTAGCTGTTGCATCATAATGTGGCATTCACCACTCTCTCCAACATTGCTCCGTTTGAGAGACTATGGATAATTGGACAACCCCGAAATATAATTTCAAGAAACACACGCGCCACGATAGGCCTTGGTGGCAGCCAATTTACACGTTGCATTCCTCTGTCTAAAAGAGACGCCAAAATAAAAAATCAGGCCGGATTTTTTGCGTTCGACAAGTTAAGTTTACTAGTAAATCTTGGCGACGAATCTGGTGGCGTGTAAACCAGCCTTTTAAACATACTTTTTCTCATCACGTCTCAGGTAAACAGTACTCTGAGGCCCTTATTTTTATCATACAGACCTCGGACAGAATTTGTTCGTATAGGTAATAGCATGATTTGTAGTGATATTTGGCATAAATACCACGAGGATCCACGAGCGATGTTTCAAAATTGGAATACGTAATTTCACGAGCCGTTAGCCGAGTGAAACTTGAGACAACTTTGAAATATCGCAAGTGGTTTTATGCCAAATATCTCGTACAAATCATGCTATTATTTGTTTATACTACTACAAGCAAAAGGTTTGTAATTTTCACATGCAGGTATTTCAAATTAAGGTGAAATACCACTGCTCTAAGCCAATCAAATTGAAGAAATTTCTCATGTAGTAGTATAATTTTTTAAACCTATAATTCTGCAGTTTTTCACAATTTTGCACGAGAATTTGCACTCATTCAATATCCACGACGATCAAAGCACGCGCTTCCTTTGCACAACAAATTATAGCATTGAATTATAAAACGTTTTCATGAAGAGAATTCTATAATGCCAGGACTTTTCAGTTAGAAAAATCTGGTCCTATGTGATATGCACGGTAATAATTATGGGCTTTTAATGAAAACGATCACTTTTCGGCCAGCCGGAGGGGTCTCACTTTTGACAGGCACCAAATTTGGAGTGCGATTAATAGAGTTACCATTAACGTTTCAACGTGATAGATAAATTGTTACGTTTAGGTTTTATTTCCCTTTATTTATTAAACTGCGTATGGTTTTGTTATGTGTTATCTTTAACAGTGACTGATATTTACGCGCGGCGTTTTGAGTATTCCTGCATGAGATGTTTATGTTCGAGTGGATACAACCGGTGCAGCGATAAAAATTGCGAGAGGGACTACTAACAATCAATAAAATAAATATAAAAAGTCAATAAAATAAATATAATTCGGTGAAACATGTACAGAGACAATAATTTTCATTCACGAAGAGAAGTATTGAGAGTAAAGTGTCTCTGAAAATCATGAGTCAGGTAAGCATAAGCTTATTTATGTTTTAAGCCGGCTTCCCGGTGTTTGCTCTTTTTCAAGATGAACTCGAGGCAAGAAAATCGCTCAGAGCTTTCTGTTCACAGCCAAAATCATAACTAAATAATCTTCGGAACATTTTCTTTGAATTTGCGGTCAAAAAATGTCTAAAGGCTTTTTAAACCTGATACTATTGTAGGTTAGATCATCGCTCATGTATAAACCGCATAAACCATACGCTCGACTTCAGGAAACCGAAAAAAAAACACATCAAGGACAACAATTTCTCAGGCTTACCAGTCGAGATGCTGCTTCTGAAGGTCATCAAGTGTTCCAGAATTTTCAACCCTCTTACGCCTCAAGCAAGGGCAAGTGAGTAAGCTCAGTTTGGGAAACGATGCCATCCGAAATCGGATTTCCAATGACTTTGACAAGCGGTGCATTTGTCAAAAAAAAGCGCAATAAACAAACCAGCCATAAATTACAGAACAATCTTGATAGCAGCAGTATTTCATTTTGTACACCAAGTAGAAAAAGCCAGTTTAAAACATCACAAGATGACACAAAACTCTGTAAGCTCCAGCTATCAGTAAGCAAGTTTCCAGACGCTGCATAAATTTTCCGCATGAACTCACCTGTCAAATTTTGACCAATCAGAGCATAAAAATTGGACGTAGAGCGTGATCAACGCGTGACAGTGAGAAAAGTCAAAAGTGATTGCCTTCCCTGCATGTAAATGTAAAAGCCGGTTGAATTTTCGCGTCCGAGGTCAGTTCGAAATCAACATTTTAAAAGTGCGGCTCATGAACTCGACTTATTTTATATGCGTTTTAAAAAAATTGAACCTGAGTCTGCGATAATTGAAAAGTAGCAACCTGTCAGCGGAAACGTTAAAAAAACACTCGAACTCAGTGGGTCGATACCTGAGCCCGCGATAGGGTCAGGCGATACTGGTCAGCAGAAACACTATTTTGACAGCTGTCAATTAATCAAATAATGGATGTACAATATCAGGTTGCAGGCTCCCAAACTAGCTAGAAAGTGTGAGATTAAACATTGGTATGCCTGTGGTGCGGACGGACGGAAGGTCGGGTGGTCGGTGTACGGTCACGTGATTGCCGAATTTTCTAAGATGGATAGATTTTCTAAGCGATGGGATTTCGAATTGAGCCCGTGATCAAATAAAATATTTCTATTTTGACAGCTGTCAATTAACCTTCATTAGAATGGCGAATATTCGAATTAACAGACTACGAGTGTGAGTAAGACATATCCGTCCGGCATTTAGTGGAAAATGCCAGATCGTGTAGGCCTTTCCCGATTGCGCTCGTAAAATCCTAAAAAAGTGCTGGCAAAAATGGCTAAAAATGCTCAAAAAGTGCTCAAAACCTCAAAATAGTGCTCAAAAAGTGCTAAAAGTTGTGAACAGTTACCTCTAAGCTTTTCGTAAATATGTCATTTTTTTCTGAAATAATTAACAATCTATTTTGCGTTGTGTTATTCGACAGGTTATTACGAAAGGTTGATAGAATATAGAACAATAATATTTTTAAAAAAACTAAAGCCGGTTTCGAATTGTAAATAAATTCGGCAGTATTAGTGCAAAGCCTAAACATCAGATGATTTAGAAATTTGAGATGACACACTCATGATACATCAGCCAATCAGAAACTTCTGTTCTCACGCTCAGTAAGGATAAGTCCACGTGCCTTTCCATGACAACGGTCTTTTATTCTTGACAACAGCATTAGTTATTCAAATTTATGACCTGGAACACGATTCTCGTTGCGAGCGACACACAGTTTTTGCTTTAAAATGTTTTAGAAGACATATGTTGCTCGAAATGTGAAATATTGCTCAAATGTTGCCCAATGTGCGAAAAAGTGCTTAAGGATGCTCAAAATGCAAAATAGTGCTCCAAGCTCAAAAAAGTGCTCAAAAGGTGCTCAGCGCAATCGGGAAAGGCCTATACCTGAGCGAACCTGAGCCCACGTTATTAGTTTTCTGATAGTGGTCTGCACATGTCCCATTTTGACAGCTGTCAATTGACCTTAATTTGGCTTGCCAATATAACTTTAAACGACTGTCAGCCAACTGACAGCCTTGCCCGGCGTAGTTTCGTTTTTATGTTGAATTGGTAAGTGTGACATATTATATCAGCTTATATGTAGGGGCAAAACGACTGGTCTTTCATCTGAGCCCGCGAGATGGTCATGTGATAATTGTCAGCGGATGTCTAATTTTGACAGCTGTCAATCTAATCGTACTCATACGGATGGCTTACACAACTAAGAAGCTAGTCAAGTTGTGCAAGATCTATTGTGACATTTGACATCGGCTTACTCGGATGGATAGTTTGACAAATTTTCTTACCCATGGTGCTCCGCTATCAGAAAGCTTAAAAGCTTCTTTTCATGGGTGAAGATAGCAATGGGTAAAACTGGCGGTTCTTCTGAGCAAACGAAACCGTTTGCTGTTAGTTTTTTGCGGGCTGAAAATATTTAGCCATTGGGCACTGCCGGTTCACAACGTCATTTTGGCTTTGTCTGTTCGAAGACCGAAAGTATCAAATGTACCTCAGCAATATGTTTTACGAAAAAGTGAGACAGCTGTATAAATAATTTTTACTCAGTAAAAACATTATATATAAAAACAACACATAGATACTAGAAAAAAATTCGTGCGAGGAATTCTACGCGAGATCAATCATTCTTTAAAATAATAAATATATTTATTATTATACAGAGTGATTGACCTCGCGTACAGTTCCTCGTCTGACATTTTTTACTAGTATTTATTTATTATTATTATACAGAGTGGTTGTCTTCGCGTAGAGTTCCTCGCCAAAATTTTCTACCAGTAATAAATATTAATATACAGGTGGAGAGAAGTAGTATAACACACATAAGTAAAATAAATGTTGTGGTTCAATTTTATCATTGGTTTAAATTTTCTTTTCTTTTGTTTCAAACTCATTATCATACATTACCATACCCCAAAACAAAAGAAAATAAAATTTAAACCAAGGATAAAATTGAACCACAACATATATATACTGGATAAAGATTGACGCACAAAATTGTTTATGCAGTACAGTCTGACTTTTTATGAAAATTTGCAAATATGTTAATTCCCAAACTATTTCAGGTCGTTCAGTGGTTGAAGATTCTTGTAGATATGCCAATGACCTAGTGACTAATTAAATACCTCTATAAAAAGTGAAATTGCACTATTATCGTCAGATATCGAAAGTCTAAAATAATCGAGTACTGAGAGACCAAGCACTTACTAGGAAAATACTGGCATTTGCTACAGCAGCTTTGGACTAATGTATTTTAGCTTAAAAATTAATGACATACACACATTTGCCCGAAATGACAGTATATACAGCGGAAATATTTAAGGGCGGATGTCTGTAAACGATCGACCAGAAGTGGGAAAAATAAAATTTTTGAAAAATCCCCAAAAACTTATGTAGACTACCCTAGGTATTCTTGTCATGAAAATATAAATTTTAGTTTCATTGGATAAGTATTTTGGCGATACGGCGAATGCCAATTTCGGGCGATTGACGGCCTCCTCCAGACCGCTTTTTCGAGCCTCTAGACCGGGCTAAAAAAAGACGACGATTTCAATCGAATTCAAGTATCATCAACCCAAAAAGCTTCTTATCGTATTAAACGGGTTTTAATACACATTTTGAGTGTTCAAGTTCTTGAATGGATTGCAACTGGAATATTTTATGAATTTTTAAATATTTACAAAATTTTAAAGATTTTACGCGAGCAAAATATTGTCAAATTTCAAAGGCCTAAAATCACATCCGATACATGTTTTTAAACAGAAAAAGACATTCCACATTAAAAAGCAATCTCTAAGCTTTCAAAATATGCTTTCAAAACTCTGGGCAACATATGAAATGAATTTTTGGGAACGCAAAGTTCACGGAGCATTTAAGTGTAATTTGACCTTTCTGACTTGACAGATAAGAGGTTCGGAGCGACACAAATCAATCCTCCAACAAATGTTTCAGCCAAAATACGTTTAATTAAAGCAATCTCAAGTCCCAAAGTGATACATAGATGTTTTATATACATTAGGTGGAAACTTTCATACGATCCTTTTCAGCCGTGAATGAAGAACTCTTATCCTGGCCTTCAGGTGCATTACTTGAACTCGCGTCGCCAATGTAAACATTTGGGTCAATTGTAGTTCTTAGCACGAAACAGCAAAGTTTTCAAAATCTACACCAATTATCTATCCTTCCTAGTATATAATCAGGTCTACAATTTTTTTGTTTGTACCTAATGTGTCCTTGTTTGACTTCATATTTCTGCAATGAAACTGAGACAAACCACAGCGACATTCCCGCTCGCTCGACATGTCATTTGCCACGTGAAAGAGCCGTTTTAGACTCGATTGCGTTACGTAAATTATTTCTGATTGTGTGAAAACAAATTCCACCTCTAACCTACATGTTATAGGTATGCCATTAAATGAGCAGACAATCTCGTTTTTTTCTTTTTTACCATACAGTTTTATCAGCACAGACTTGTCGGTTTCCCGACGAAACGAAAAAAAATCCTAGGACCGAAAATTGGTGATGTGCCAGGTGCACGTTGGTTCGCCGTATTGTCAAAGAGGTCCATAATGTAGTTTGCGTATCGACGAACTTATCATGGTTTGAAACTTGCGTAGGTGCCTGCTCTTGCGTATCTTCGAACTCTTTACAGAAGAACCAGTGTAACACGAACGAACCTTTATCTCCCCCGCTCCTGGTCTGTCTCCGGCAGGTTCATTCCCTGCTTTGACACGCGCATAAACGTTGCAGAGTAGGTCCCCTCATCGTAGCCAATCATTTTGGGGGCAGGGGCGGAGGGCGAAAGAAGAAGTGCCGAAGACGCACGATGAGATAAAAGAAGAGGAGTCCTCCTCTCCCATTCGCGTGTTCCTCTTGCGCGGCCTACAATGCTACGTAGGCTAAGCCGAACAGCGCCCGCTTCATAATTTCTAAAAAAAGGGTAAAGCAACCATATTTAACGTCGATAACTCGTGACAGTAATAACTGATCAACTTGAGGTCGACGGTGCGCTTATTTTACCCTCCCCCCTCCCTCTCTCTCTCTCCATCAATGCTCCGGTTTAAGGGCATTTAAATCTAGTCAAAGCTACACAGAATGGAGAGAAGTTGAAACAAGGATGTGATGTCACGGGGGATCGAACTCGGGACCTCACGCACCGAGGGCCGCGCACTAAACCAACTCTGCCACCCCTGCTGATTGCTTGAGGTGGATTACAATAATAACGAGAATAATAATATTAATACTGTATTTCATAATAATAATAATAATAATAATAATAATAGTAATTATTATTATTTGTCAGAAACGCATTATAGAGTGTAATACATTTATAGCTCTAGCTTGCAAACAACCGTCCCACGCTTTTGAACCCCATTCATTAAAGATAAATCAACGTTGGAGGTAATAGGTATTTTTATCATAATTTTTACCTGCCTTATGGCCACAAAAGTGAAATTGGTGGACAGCTTAAAGTAAGATTTAAAACGTACCTTGCCTGCCGGTGGTGTTGAACTCCCGATGCGAACCTGTACTCTGTGCTCGTGTATTCGGTACTTGTACCAAAATAGCCTAAAACTAGTTATCCATATTCGCACGCTGTAAATATCGTCGTAAAGTAAGTACAAGTGTACTACCGTAAAATTCCGAAAATAAGACCCACCATGTATAAGCCCCTCCAAATATAAGCCCTTCAAATCGGTAACGCAAAAAACCCTCCGTTAAATCGCCCCTCCAAATATAAGCCCCGCGGGGGCTTGTACTTGGAAAATTTCCCTCAAATACAAAGTAAAACAAAGCAAAAACGGTACATTTACTTCCAACTATAAGGCTAGCCCAATCGATTTTGTAACGCAAATATCCGTCCGTAGATAAGGCCCTCCAAAAAAGGGCCTTTGAAAAATATAAGCCCCGGGGCTTATTTTCGGAATTTTAGGGTAGCTTAGACCATGGAGAGTGCACTATTAAAGAATTGGTGTCGCAAGCGCAAGATACAAGGGTAGCACGATTTTCTAACTCGTGCTTTTTTACTTGTAATTATAAACTCTTTGTACATGATAGGCCATAATAGCGTGTTGCAGAATAACTGCGAAACGTATTAGGTAATTTCCTACGCTGACAGATCTGTCAACAAAAAACAAGAAAGAATCGCGGTTTAATAGACACGCTTAGGGATCACAAGCCTGCTATCGGTAAAACTGCATGGTAAGAAAAAAAAAAGAGATTGTCTGCTCATTCAATGACATACCTATAACATGTAGGTTAGAGATAGAATTTTTTTTCACACAATCAGAAATAATCACTGTGTCATGTTTACGCAACGCAATCGAGTCTAAAACGGCTCTTTCACGTGGCACGTGACATGTCGAGCGAGCGGGAATTTCGCTGTGGTTTGTCTCAGTTTCATTGCAGAAATAAATTCAAACAAGGACACATTAGGTACAAACAAACAAATTGTAGACCTGATTATATACTAGGAAGGATAGATAATTGGTGTAGATTTTTAAAACTTTGCTGTTTCGTGCTAAGAACTTCAATTGACCCAAATGTTTACATTGGCGACGCGAGTTCAAAACATAGGCACGTTAAACGTGCATGAGCTATTTTGAATGCTTCAGTGTAACTTTAATGCTTCGGTGAAACATTACCAGGAGTGATGAATCTACCTCTTTCATCCTAAATGTAGATTGGGTTTTCATGCGAAATTGCGTATTGCGGTACATGAATGAAAACGCGAAACGCTCAGCTGAGTCGATCCTCAAGCTATATATTCGCTTTCCTCTGTCTTTCCCTGTTACATGATGCAAGTTAAACAAATCATTAAAGTGAAATAAATTTCTACTCACCAAACGTTGATTAGAAGGAAAACTCTAAGGTTTCCTCGGAGTTTCTTAAGCCAAAATGTGACTCATCGAATACTGAATAGTTACGAAATACCAGGATTTTTATCATTGTGGTAGATGGTTGCATCATAATAATTCACGTGGTTTTCACGTGCGATTCTACTCAGTGAAACAGTCTTTAACTCCGACAACTTATTTCTTCGTGTTTTAAAAGCTATTGCTTCTCAAAAGACAAGAGCCTTTTTTAAGGCATTGGTTACAAAACGAAACAGGTCTTCATACGTCCAAGTTACTATATATCATTGTGAAAAGCCAATCTGCATGAGATGTACAGTCACACAGCTGGCACGTGAAAGTGTTGGACTTTGCCCCCTTTCGTGGTTCGTACGTGAGGGAATTCGAGTTATCATTCAGTAAACTACATAGGCGTACGGGCAATTTTTTGCCGGGGGGGTAATCCATTTGCCCAAAAAATTCTTGCAAGTTACCCAAATTTTTACAAAACGGTCGAAAGAAAACTAGGGCCATGCAACAACATAGGCCGTACTGGCATATGAAAGTGGCTCGATACAGTTTTTCAGAGTCAATACCTGCCAAGTTTGAGCATAAACTACGTCTCCACAAACCAGCATTTGGAAAAAATTGCCACCACAGTTGTATTAGATAAAGAGGGAAATTTGTCATGATCAGGGTTGCAATGACATCGGAGCTGTCATAGCAACGAAATGACGCCATTACCTATTATACTTACAGCAATATTTCTCACTGGGAACTGTTCTTAAAAAATCGTTCAGGGGAGCTCTTTCCTCCAATAGTCGCCTCGATGTTCGTGAAATTAAAACGGAACTGTAAGAGCGTTATCGAGATATTTTGGGATGAAGTTTTTATTGTTAGAAATAAGGTAAAAAAGGAAAATCTTGATGTTTAGTCGTAATCTGAAGAAAACGAAGCGCTTTTGACATGCAATTTCACCTCATAGTAGTTTCAATCTTTTTAAAATTGTGTATGAAAGATCATGGAGATAGCTCCTGCCAATTGCTATAAGGAAGGATTTGATTAGCGCTCGATCTTGTTAGGGGTTTTGTAAACATTTCGGTCTACTTAAACAAATAAGTGAATAATTTTTAAACCGCTCGATAGATTTTTTTAAAAAAATTATGATTCTTCTCGTAATTCAAACTGAGAATTAGTCAGCCACTTCACTTTCAGACCCATTGCTGATGCGTGTTCTGCCACACACTGTTCTAGGAGCGGAGGTGATTCTAGAAAGTTATGCGGAAGTTTATTCTAATCAATTCACGACTGGAAATAGCCCACTCCAGCTAGTACAGTGAAGTACAGTGCCCAACAACAACAACAACAAAATCAGAATATGATACCTTCCCTTATAACCAGAAACTCATCAAGTGATAGGCAACCACTGTCTCGTGTGAACGTAACTGAATTATTATGCCGACTTCTGGTTAAAATAGAAAATATTTATCTCTTCAAAACAATAATAATAAAAAACATGGAAACGTCTGTAAAAACTGGCTTTGCCCAAATTTTCTCTTGCTGCCCAAAAAATCTGAGTTGCCCAAACTTTGGGGGGGCTGCTGGCCCGTACGCCTATGCTATGGTAAACTAGTAAACAGATTTATAAAAATAACTCACGCACACAATTTGCACGTGAAGATGTTGGTCTTTGGCCCTTTTACAATTCGTACGTAAAAAAAGGCAAATTGTTTACTATAAAATTTTCTCAAACGATTTTAAGAAATCACCTCGGCTTCATTATAACATCTGCAATTAAATTATGTTTCATGCAACGTCAAGGTTGATAACCTAACATTTATTAACATTTGTAAAACAGTCTTTAACTCCGACAACTTATTTCGTCATGTTTTAAAAGCCACTGCTTCTTAAAAGACAAGAGCCTTTTTTAAGGCATTGGTTACTAGACGAAACAGGTCTTCATACGTCCAAGTTAAAATTATTATTGTGAAAAGCATGACAAGTACAGTCACACAGCTGGCACGTGAAAGTGTTGGACTTTGCCCCCTTTCGTGGTTCGTACGTGAGGGAATTCGAGTTATCACACAGTAATCTAGTAAACAGAATTATAAAAATAACTCATGCACACAATGTGCAGGTGAAGATGTTGGTCTTTGGCCCTTTCACAATTCGTACGTAAAAAAGAGGCAAATTGTTTTACTACAAAATTTTCTCAAACGATTTTAAGAAATCACCTCGGCTTTATTACAACATCTGCAATTAAATCATGTTTCATGCAACGTCAAGGTTGATAGCCTAACATTTATTAACTTCCAAGAAAACTATCAAACTGCTGAAATATATTTCTACTTATATCATGTTGCTCCACTCAATATAACAGTATCTAATTATTGTGTCAACTAGCTTCTTCCAATTTTATTCCCTAACGCTACTGTTTCTACTGAAGTTACGCATCTTTACTAAATAGAACGAAAAAGGTCGGTTGAACTTTGTAAGCGAGAGAATAATATTTTTAAAGCTTGTTTACAGGATTAACAATACTCGATACAGCTTTCAAAAATATAAGCTGCCTTTTAAACTTCTAAAACCACATTTTATAGGGCGCATACTTTCGAATTAAAGTCTATATCTAAATATCAATTATTGCTTCGTTGGAAGAGATTTGAAAATATATGATCTTGCTCTACCCAGGTGAAACAGAACTCATACTGACGTGCGTTGTACCGATAGCCGAATTAGGTCAGAAATGCCTCGAAGCAGCATCCACACTTAAATATGAACCCTTAAACAGCTGCATCACTGTTCACAGCGTTTGAATCATGAAGATATTTTATGTAATGCTTCCAAACACCTGTACCCGTAATAAAAGACGAAAAAATTGTGAAGGATCAAGATGGCGGTCTCAAAGTGCCCTTGTTCGACCTTTACCAATGCCATGTTTAAATAGATGCCAAGATCTCATTGGTTCCTAAGCGTCAACTCATAGTACCTTCAGCCTTATTGGCTCTTACAACAAACATCCCAACATACAAAGATACAAAGCCACAAAGATACATACGCTCACACCACTGACATATGAGCTATTTTTTCAAAATAGCTCAGTAATGCACCTGAAGGCCAGGATAAGAGTTCTTCATTCACGGCTGAAAAAAATGGAATGAAACTTTCCACCTAATATATATAAAACATCTATGTATCACTTTGGGACTTGAGATTGCTTAAATTAAACGTATTTTGGCTGAAACATTTGTTGGAGGATTGATTTGTGTCGCTCCGAACCTCTTATCTGTCAAGTCAGAAAGGTCAAATTACACTTAAATGCTCCGTGAACTTTGCGTTCCCAAAAATTCATTTCATATGTTGCCCAGAGTTTTGAAAGCATATTTTGAAAGCTTAGAGATTGCTTTTTAATGTGGAACGTCTTTTTCTGTTTAAAATCATGTATCGAATGTGATTTTAGGCCTTTGAAATTTACAATATTTTGCCCGCGTAAAATCTTTAAAATGTTGTAAATATTTAAAAATTCATAAAATATTCCATTTGCAATCCATTCAAGAACTTGACCACTCAAAATGTGCATTAAAACCTGTTTAATACGACAAGAAGCTTTTTGGGTTGCATGATACTTGAATTCGATTGAAATCGTGGTCTTTTTTTAGCCCGGTCTAGAGGCTCGAAAAAGCGGTCTGGAGAAGGCCGTCAATCGCCCGAAATTGGCATTCGCCTTATCGCCAAAATATTTATCCAATGAAACTAAAATTTATATTTTCATAACTAGAATACCTAGGGTAGTCTACATAATTTTTTTGGGATTTGTCAAAAATTTCATTTTTCCCAACTCTGGTCGGTATTTACAGACATCCGCTCTTAACAAATATACAAGTATGATTATCATACCTTTACAAGTTGTCAAAAAAGCGATAAACACAATCGAGATACTCGCGATACCATTCATAGCTGTGTTCTGTAGCGGTTCTCCTAGGCGAGAAACTGAACATAGACGCTTTATCCGATTCCCTACAGTTTCAGGAGCGATGCGATTCACTTACTTTTGATAAACAGGTGACCATGTCTGTCAAACCCTTAAATATGCTTTCAATGATATTAAATTTTTATCCAACGCCTGCGCAATTTCTCATATCCATTTATACCAATATCAAAACCGATGCATTACGCGGCACTTGTAAACTTCCTTTCCAATTTCGTTATTGTTGCAGGTGCGTCAAATGCGAACCAACGCCTGTAAACGTCATCCTCTCTGCCGACAAAGATGAGGGCAAGTGCGTGTCAAGATATTGAAGGATTATCACTTCCTAAATATGCACTGATCAATATCATATTTTTGTTTGTATCACATTCAAGATACAGTCGCCACGCGGCGTGACCTGGGTCCTTTGAAACTTTAAAGGCCCGTTTCAAACGCAACGCTTCCGTCTTACGAAACTTTAATGTAGCTTGACAGTAACACGACATGGCTTCAACCTTCAAATTAAACTCAGTCCAACAAAATAGCTGTTATAGAAGCCAAAACTGGTTTGAACGACTTTGAAAACAGACAGACAGCCAAACTCAGTATCGGAGAGTTGTTTAATTTAATTGATCCGATGCGATCTCGGCAATTTCTTGCGCTTCCGTGTTTCTAAATTGCATGTGTTCAAGAAAATAATCACAAATGAGGCAAGAACGAGCAATGCTTATAAAGCAAGAGTTTTCCTTGATTCCCATCCAAATCCCTATGTTGATAACCGTATTTCCTCGAATAATAGCCGGAGTCGATTATTTCTTTTTTCGCACAAAAAGGGGGCAGTTATTCGAGGGAGTCGATTATTTCGAATATTACTCACTAGACGTCGTGCCTGAAATATTAGGATATTTTATTCATTATTTTTCCATTAAATAAAAAAATAATCACATCAAATAAACTGAACATAGGCTTTTTGAGTGTTACAAATTTAGTTCCTTGATTAATTTTCAGAGCTTGAATCGTCACTGATCAGTTTTGCTGGAACACATTGCACTTCAACTTGACAAGGAGGGGAAATAAGAAAGAGAAGATGGCAAGAGGGGCGAGGCGAAGGGGGGCGATTATTCGAGGGAGGCGATTAGATAGATAGATAGATAGATAGATAGATAGATAGATAGATAGATAGATAGATAGATAGATAGATAGATAGATAGATACTTTTTTAATGAGGGTTTCACTTGATATCCACAGATAATATACGCGTGGCTCTCAACCAAAAATTAAGCATAAGAAATGAAACAAAAATTAAGTAATGAATCACTGAATAAACACACTCAAGAAAATCGTACTTACAAACAATAATTACGAATATTATGGTCATGAAAGGTACTTTTCAGCAAAGTTGTACTAATTAATCGAGGGACGGCTATTATCTGAGGAAATACGGTACGCAACATCGTATCACACCTAACTCTCATGAGCTTGGGTTGCCTGTGTTAAAACCAAGAGTGTTTAACTTTGTCGTCATCAAAGTCTAAAATCTTCGAATCTTTAAAGCCTAAGACATCCAGTTGGACTCAACCTACCGGACACTCGATCTACACCTTAGACTATTATATCTACAAGTGTACATGTCGAAAAGAGAGTTTAGCAAGCTGGACTTAAAGCAACGCCTCAAGAGAGCCAACCTCACTCCACAACAAAGAGCCGCTCTATTATCTTTACAGCAACGCAATGACATCATCATAAATCCAGCGGATGAGGGAGAAGCCGTGGTGGTTTGTGCTCGACATCTTTGTATAGAAGAGCCAGAAAGACAATTCTCGGATAACAACTTCTACTAACAAGAAGACCGTAACTACACCATAAACATAACAACATGGTTAGCAGGGTAAGGCGGCCATGTTGAAAAGTGAACTAACGGAATCAGCCATGAATCTCACTGTGTATAATCCTCGCACGTCAAGATTCTATTGGCTGCGGAAAATCCACTAGCCTTGTAATCCTGGTAGGCCTATATTGTCTCCGCATGTAATTGCCCAGCAGAACTAATTGCCAACACAATCACCAAACCGGCTAGTCCAAAATCTACGCAGCTATACGTGAAAGATACAAAACACATGCTTCGTATCACCGAATCTGTTGCTGGGGAGCATAAGAATGTTTTCACCATGGCCAGATCATTTCCTTAATAAGAGAGTTGTCCTTCAACCACCTACACACACTCTTGTTCGTCTCGCAGAGTTAGTTCCTTTTTAATTACATTGAATACTTTCTCTTTGAATGGAAAGTAATATAGAAATAGCCCGGGATAAAAGCAAAGCTTTCGTTAATATCTATAGTTGAATGGAACAAAACATAAAATCGTGTAATGCTAAGTAGCGACGGCAACAAAAACAGCCGAAAAAATCAGTACATGGGTCTAATAATTAGCAAAAACACAACTTTGCACGTGCAGCACACTTTTATTGTACATTTCTCTGCCGTTGTTGTGCACGACTACAACGTGAAACTTCCAGAAACTTCCTAGTTACACGTTTTATGGAGGAAATTTTGTATGTATTCCTGTTCACTTTTTTTTTTTCGCTGCCACTAATTTTCATCTTGGAGGCCGCTAGCATTTCTAATTTTCTCACCGCCGATATAAAATTTTCAAGTTATTCTTCCAAAGAAATTGGTCTCCTTTGTTTTTGATCTCTAGCTCTTTCTCTGTTATCCACGTCAATATCGTCAACTATAGTCCCTTGGGACTTCGAAATAGCGGGGTTCAACTGTACTTCGGTTAGATAATTAAAACCTCTTCTATATTTTCAGTTACTTATAAATTGTACTAGTGGCGGAGTTTATGTGAATTCACGGAAATTTATACCTTGATTTTAGTAGGGCCTACCCCCAAAAGTGATTGACGTGCTGAAGTAAAAAAAACTGGGGTTATAACGGAATGATATTTGCTCAGTGTAGGAAAGTGAAAGTTAATAGCTAACCAAAGCTAACCAAAATTAACAGTTAACTGAGAATTGGCCAAAAAATAGTAGTTAACTGATTAGTAGTTAACTGAGAATTGGGTACCCCCATTAGTACCCTCTTAAATGTTTTAAGTGGTAATGACAAGGAAGCCTAAATAGAAGCCGGGGACTTATACACTATAGGCTACCTGGAACTATAAGGTAAACCATGGGAGTTAAGTGTACTGAATGAAAAATGGATTAAGTTTTAAAAATAAAGAAAAAGAAGAGGTGTGTAGCTCAACAACGAGTATATTTGACTAAGAAAGAAGGGATCTTTGAATTCTTTCGCCAAACAAACTTATACTTTCACTGTTTTGAATTTCACGACTTAGCGAGTTAAAAGACTTAGGACCTTGAAACCGAATTGAGAATTTCCGAAAATTAGTTCGACAACGAGGTATATAAAAAAGCGCTGGAATTTCTTGTATCATGCAAATGTATCTAGCTTGCAAGAGTAAACATATCACGAAAATAATAATAGTGATCAAGAAAAGGGTACTTGACAACCTCGTCCCCAGAGCTTTTCCGTTTTTCTTTAGGAAAAGTATTGGGGACGAGATTAAGTACCCGGGGTACACTTTTTAATATCTTTTTCTTAAGAGCTCCAACCTCGTACCCAGAGCTTCTCCTCCCCTTCCGTTTTCCAAGCGAAGTAAAACATGGCGTAGACAAAAGCAAATAAGAATTTTGCTCCTTGGACATGGTTGTTAATCAAAAACAAAACACAAACAGCAGTGATAACATTGGGGACTTTCGCATTTCTATATCAACTAACGTATACTAGACCAAATAAATTTAAAAGTGACCGTTACAGCCGATTATGACAAAAACTATTTAAACAACAGTGACCACACCCTAGCCCTAATCACTTTTGAAATGGATAGTTTTTGTCAGTCGGTTTTTCAAAAAATATATTATTTTCCTTTGTTTCTGGATATGGAATTGACTGTTGACCAGCTATACTAATCAATGAAAATTTCTATATTTAAAAGAAAATACTACTATTTGGCTATGATTTTTAGCGTCTTCACAAGATATAGCTGGAAGTCTCTCGACGTAGCTGCCCTTTTACTACAGAACCTTTAGATGGGATAAGCAATGAATTTGTTATATATAAAGGTTATAAGATTGACGATACTAAGATAAAAGCTCCAAGAAATAGCTTAACAAGGGACACTGCTTTTTTCGCGGCCGCTCTCACGTTAGGCACTTTGGGAACGGCATCCGCTGGACACCATGTAAACTCGGGGGGAACACGCCCCCATTCCGGATTCAATTTTCTCGCAGTAGGTCGGAAAACGTTCTTACCAAAGTAACCAGCAATGTTACCCTCGGGGTTGTATTTGATAAGAATAGCAAGTCTCTTGTCTTTAAGCAGGGTCGAAGCAGCTCCAATTTGTGTTGAGTTTTTCCAAATAAGCTAAGACAAAATAAAAAATACGGGATTGTCAGAAGCAGTGCTTCACCGCCCACACAAAGCACTGCTTTTATAAAACCTGCTCGCAGGCAAAACCCAGGTCAATGCCGTCAACAAACCAGTCACCCAATTTATGCACTGTATAAATTTCATAGGCAGATGCTCATTTAAGATAAATGACTGTGCATAAATAAGAGTTCTGAAGGGACTGGAAAAACGGTTTTTAATTTGAGTGACTGGGACTGGTCTGTGCCCCTGGGAATAGTATTAACCCTTTCACCTTCAAAAGTGGCCAAACTCAAAATTCACGCCATTTTCTAAACTGAATGTTGTAAATTGCTGAAAGACTAAAAGCGGCATTTGAAAAGTAACACCAAAGAGGTTTTATTGTTTTATTTGAATGGTTACACCACATCAGAACCATAGGATGTGGTCCACCGACTAGAAAATTAGAAACACCTTTCAAGAATTCGTCATTCACTCAGCTGAAAGAAAACGAATTAGACTGGAAGAATGTACTCTCCTCCACACCCAACCTTCAAGCATCTATAAAATATACCGGACCCACCTGAGTAAATTTTTCTGCTTTCTTAACGAAGCCTGGATTACTGTAATTATAATACTGTTCCTCGTAATGGAACCACCATGTGGCGGTACTGCAGTACTCCTCCGGGTATGTGTCAAGCGGTGCCAAATATAGGTTTCCAGGATAATCGCTTATTTGTTCAATCGCGCTATTTTTCACATTTTTCAACCAGTCCTCAGCCTCCTTTTGTAGCATATTTGACCACCTAACATAGGGAACCTTGTGGCAGATGAAAAAAACAGTTTTAATAACCGCATCTCGCCTTCATCTTTATGAAATAATCAATCATTATATATGTGATTATGCATAAAAAGGCACTCATAGTTCTTGAACCGGTAAATCGGTTATGATCATTTGTACTTAAATTTGTCTTATTGGCGTGATTGGGAAGAAACGCTCAAATCTTTATAGACAGTATCTATGCAAATTTCCCATTGCTAATAATAAGTTGGCGCTTCTTTAACATATTTACATTTATCTAATCTGCGTGAAGGGAACCTCCATCCCGGTATTTACAAATGTCATATTGCTCATAGACAAGGATGGAGTAAGTTAGCACTTCTGTCTCGCCCTCCTGACAGGCATTGGCCTGCGAGCAAGCTCTTCAATTATGGTCCATTATGGCGACGGCGAAACGAGCCGCGAGAAAACGGCACTAGATCAGGGGCACACAACCACCGAATGCCAAGTTTTTCTCTGTTCTTTAGAAGCCTGTTTGGTTAATTTGGAGTTGCCCTAATACGATTTATCTGTTCGGATGTCTTAGGGGAACTTTGGTTGTCACGAAAGTCTTAGGTGCCTTTTTCGTCTCATCCGAAAGTGTTAGCTACCGTTATGGGTCCAGTCGAAAGTTTGAGGACATGAAGTAGCCTTGCTTTCATTAGAAAATTATTGGGGATGAAATTGGACCGAAATTTTTAGGAGACCTTTTTTAACTATAATCGTAATATCTTGGTATTAAAATGTGAATAACACAACCTCCGAAAATCGTAGTTAAGCCATTAGAAAACCTCCGAATATTTTAGACGTTTGGAACGGTTATCCAGAAATTTTTAGCTTTTCTCAAGCTTTAGAAATTTCTAGGCAATATTTGCTCCTTCGAACAGAGTCGCCCGGTGCTCCTGACTGGAGCGTTGTGGCAATGGTCGAGGCATGGGAGGGACTTCTGCAGTGGCCATTTCACGATAAAGCTGGCATCTTCAAAAGTGCATGTATTGAAATCCTGGGTCTCTTTTCGGTTTTGAAAGACGGCTGGCCTGGAGCGTCCCAGAACGACCGGAGATGACGATTTAGCCATAGAGATTGTCAAATGTTGATCCAATATGAAGTGATGAGAGTGAACTAAATCATTCGAACTGTTAGACGCAAGATGATGACTCTCGCGAACGCCACAAATGGAGAGCTTGCTCGCAGGCTAGACAGGCATTTTTCAGGGAAGCGGGGAAATTTGGGGAAATTGACCAGCGCCCTCTTGTTACAAAATAAGGATGGAATAAGTTACTGCCTCTATCTCGCCCTCATTACAGGCGCGCTTCAGAGAGGGGGAGCTGGGGATTTAGACTCAAGCCCAATTTCCCCATTCCCCTTTCCTTTCCCTTTCCCAGCCTAGCAGTCCATAATAATTTACCTGGTGAAGGGTACGGAAATAATTGTGCCAGAAAAGGCATTGGTCTTTAAACGGTATTGTGCTTGGAGCTGTGAAATTAAGCAAAATAACGCATCAGATGAAAAATGAAACAAGTCCCTTATGATCCCCTGGATTAAAGAGTAGAGTCTCAGTGGCGGATCTAGGGGAGAAACCCGGGGGACCCGCCCAACTCCCTTATTTTTAGACCAAACTGAGGCCCGAAGGGCCGAAAATTTTTTCTTTTAGAGACCGGGCATCACCTTTATCTCAGGGTCTGGATGACCGCCCTTCCCCCCCCATCTTCATCTTAATGTCTGGATCCGCCACTGAGTTGGTTACGGGTGGACAAAAAGGTTTTCGAATAAGTTAAATCAATTGATCAGTCCATCCTGTTATGTCCAGTAATGGGCTTTAATGAGATACTTAATCTTTATGACTGACGCAAAGAAGTGTTCAGTAGCCCTAATCCTAGCCTCAACGCAAGGAATTCTGTCAAACATGAAGTTATCATTGCAGATAATATAAAGTACCTAAGGTACGAGTTATGTGCATTTTTGGACAAAAGCAAAACATCCGACGTTCTGAGTCTAGTCTAATCTGACGCCACCGGCTCAGAAGAAGATGGATGGATGGTCAATACAACAAATGATGAGCATGAAAATTTGCTGATGATAACGAGGAGTGTTTGATAGCACATTGTTCACTTGTAACGCATTACACATACTTGGTAAAGTGATTGGTCCTGCTGTTGTTGTCGGTATAACGAACTTTGCAGGGCACCTTGCGAACCCGGGTGGCTGATGCGGCCACTCTGGACCGAGTCTGGTCGCGATGGGTCGGAAGACATTACTTGCAAAGTAGCCAATGTAGTTGCCCCCAGGGTGGTATTTAATTGAAATAACAAGTCTCTTGTCTTTTCGTATTGCCCAAGCAGCTCCTATTTGACGTGAGTTTCTCCAGACTACCTAAAAAGATGAAGGAGAAAAAGGCACTGAAACTTTGCTTGATTGTGAAAGGATTAAACCCAGACGTCATGTCATAAGTAGGTGAAGCATGATTTTCCGGGTGTGCGTAGTCCTGAATAGGACCACAGGTAGCCCAAGCTCAAAATATGAGCATCGGCGAACATCGGCATTGTTGCGAAACATTCGAAATATAACGATTTGTATGGTAAAAAACCTATCTTTTCTGTAACCTATGAAAATGAAAGGATTTCAATAAAAAACAGCTTACCTTACTTAAAATGTGTGTTACGTCTCTCTTGTGTGGTCCACGGGCCGATTTGTGGCAGTTTTGTGTAAACGGTTTTCTCTCTATATAGGGATTTACCAAGTTAGGTACTTCAGCGAAGCGGCCCGACTGATCCACCGAAGGAAAACGGCCGTAAACTCGCTACAACTACTCCAATCGCTTCCAAATTCCGCCTATGTAACACACGATAGTTCTCCTTTATCTAGAGAGAAAACCGTGACTGGTGTTTCGACAACATGCGCGGTGGTAGTGACGTGATACAACTCACTTTGGCTCTGAAGATGACTACCACACAGGTTGTCGAAATGTCATTCACTGTCAGCAACAGTCCTATTCAAGACTATACGCTCATGCGGACAGTATGAACTTTGTTTGATTGCAATCCCAATTGAGGGGGGGGGGAGGTGTACTCCGGAGTATAAGTGACGGGGATGACCGACAGATTTTTTGGGTTTGAAATTTTCAATTTTAGGTTTTTAGGGGTAGGAAAAGTTTGCTAGTATTTTTTGGATGATTTGATTTAGGTAGCAATATTTTTGGGTATTCAAACAATCTGAAGATTCGCGGTGGTGCCCGCGTATTCCAGAAATTTTTTAAGGCTCAGAAATTAGACATGCAATTTTTGGGGGGTTAATTATTGGTCCAGGCATTTTGGGGGGGTTGTGTTGGAAGCCCTAGGGATTTTTGTGAGTTTTTATTTTTGCCCCCATTTGACCATACCCACCACTTGAAATCCGGAGTGCCACCATCCCCCCCGCCCCCTTCTGGGATTACAATAATCTTTATAAGCTGTTGTCTTTGCGAAATTTGTAATGCTCGTGACATACCGTTGTGAAATGTCCCGCTGCTTCACTGTAACCGGGTCTACTGTAATTATAATACTTTTCCTCCCAATGGAACCACTGTACAGCATCACTGCAATACTCTGCGGGGTAAACGTTAGGATGGGACATGTATAGGTTCCCAGGATTCTTTTTGCTATGATGAAACTTGTCGTTTTCAGCCAGATATTTGACCCAGTCCTCTGCCTGTTTCTGAAGGTCCATTGACCACGTGACATTATCAACCTGGAAATATAAGTTTGTAATAAAATGATTTTTAGTGAGTAAATTACCGGCAAATAATCGTAGTAAAATGAAAAAATAACTTCAAATACTGGTCTTGTTCGGTGCAAGGAATTTCGAGTTCATTCTGTAGCCAGCAAGGTCACTTACTTGATGGAAAATTGCGAAATAAAAAGCTCTGACCCATTATTAGGTATTCAAACTAAGTGCTGTTATTACATTCTAAAGCGATTTAAAGCAAATGAAAAAGCATTTTTTTGTTTCCAATTAGTGACGTAAATATGTCTTCCACACTCTAACGCGAAGTTAAAGGCATTAAGACATTTCAACGAGCCCATAAGCTTCTGAAATTGCCCACATATAATGCAGTAGTCTTGATATATCGGCCGTCTAACCTCTCATCAGTGACAACTTAGAGTATAGTCAACCCGCCTTTTTTTAAACACCTGGGCCGAGTTGTTGGAAGCTGGGTTAAGTTAACCCAGGGTTAGTGGGAGATTTGAATTAAGATTTGAACGCGCAAAAAACAGGAAAAAAAAAATGATAGAGAAAATTATCCTAGAAAATGCTCTTAAACGCGAGATTAAGAAATCACGGTTAAATTTAACCTCTGGTTAAGCGCTAATCGGTCTTCGAACAACTGGGTCCAGCTTAATACTGACGCCTTATTACTACAGACAGTTTGCTTTGTCTCTGGTGAAAGAAAGCCCTTACATTTTCTCTAAATTCAACCCGCTTAACACGGACACCCCGTTGATACGGACACTTTGTACAGCACCCTGGGCCTCAGTGTCCGCATTAAAGGGGTTTGACTGTACTTAAAATGGTTACGTCACTCATTTTCAGCAACTACAAACCGCACCTAATTCTTTACACTTGAACAGTAATTCGTCGTGGTTAGTCCTGGCTAACGAAGCAAGAGTTTTAAAATCATAGGGACTACTTCAGACGAAGCCTCCCACACAGATGTTCTTAGGGGTTCGTCACGCGTCCCTTCCCCACAGGGAAGCGTAACGAACCCCTAGGAATGTCTGAGTGGGAGCCGGCCTGTCACTAAGATTTCAAATTTCCGGGTATATGCAGTTAGTAGGTAGGGAAGTGAACAACCAGGGAGTTCTTTTGGTCTCATCTTTCTTTTGTTTTCCATAGCCTGGGGTCATGCTCTTAGTAGCCGGGGAAATTCCCCGCCCCCCAGCCCTTAGTGACAGCCCTGTCAGGGAGGCTACTTCAGACGGTCCTTTCTTATATTCCTGTATATATTATTCTATAGAATTCAAGAGGAGCTTGAAACTTGACAATGTAAATTTACCTGATGAAGAGTGCGGAAGTAGTTGTGCCAGTAAATGCATTGTTCCTTAAATGACATTTTACCTGAAATACACGAAAAAAGGTCTAAGAAGAAGGTAAACTTTGGCTACACCATAGTACCTGCAGTTCACAGGCCAGTAATTCACTCGCTTTCAAGCCAAGTTCAGATGTCTCAAACAATCACTTTTCATATTCTCACTTTTGATTGGCCTGGAGATCATGACGTCATCTACCGATAAATTGTCTGCTCATTCGCAAGAGAGAAGAAACCTGTTCTGCTGCAGATTATGCTACTGTCATGCGTAGTTTGGTCGCTGCTGCCTTGAATGCTGGCCCGAAATTTCCCAATTAATTTCCGTAAAGCAAAACAAGCATATCTATTGAATAATAAGAACTCGTTCCGCAAAAATACCGTGAATTGCCCGTATTCTGTAGACTAATTATTTGCCACTGCGATCGGCTTTGGCAAATAATTGCATGATCTGCCAGCCACTGCCAGCAGAGGGCGCGGTGGCTTTAAGCTCAGTGCTTTGCACTGTGTCAAGTTGGAATAAATCATGGATAGTACATTCTTTGCAAGTGAATTACTTTGGGTTCACTAACGACCGCAGTTAGCCATCTATTGTAGGACTTTTTCGCCCACTGGACACATCTCCATCAGGGCGCACGTTTAAGTTCGTCACATGTTCGATAATGCCTAATTTAAAAGAGGTCTAGCATGATTGAGATGTTTGATAGCATTAAAGGTAAAAACACATTGTAGGTACGACTAAAACATCACTTAGCACTATACAGCGATGAATTACTACTTCCTGCAAATAGACTGATGTACGTCCTTTGAGCGAGTCGAAAATGCTTTCTGGAACCATTGCCTCAAGTTGAAGAAACCGGCAAAATTAAATCACATCGCCAGCTAAAAAAATATTTTTGCTTCTGCTTTAATGGTACATCAGTTTTAGATTATATTGACAGACAAAACGTAAACTGAATACTTAATCTGGCTTTTCAGTAAGATACTCATGCCATTTACCTCAACTGGCTTTTCCCATGAGAGTTATCAGCGGCAATTTATTTTTGAACGAAGACAAAAATACGCGAGGGATATACGGTATATACCCGGGGGGTACTCCCTTATATAAGCCATATAGGTATTTGCCGCCTTAACGGGTAGGGTTTTGGGCCTTTTCGGTCTGAAAACAGCTATAAACCTCCTTGGGTATACACTTTGCCTATTTTGGTCTGGAATCGGGTATGGTTTACGAGGGAACTACGGGAGTGTATAAACGTATTTATCGTTGCTATTCCAGGTGAATAAGAACGAAGAAGAAATGTGCGAATTCGAAACGCATTTGAAGAATTTTTTTGTTTTCTCTCTAATCTGGTAATGATGACATAATTTCACCCTAAATGCTAAGTCTGAAAACGGGTGTGGAAAATAACATTTTTTGGTCTGAAATAGGGTCAGGATGTGGAGAACCGGTCGGCACACCCCCACCATGAATTTCCAGAAGTACCCCCCTCGGGAAGGTATACAATATATCCTTAAGAGTACATCAGTAATCAATTACGATGCATGAGCTGATTCACTATATTTTAGTGTAACTGGCTCTAAACATTAAGACTGTACTTCTTTAAGTCAAAAGACATTTTGTTTACGTTCCCCTACCAATTTGGGGTGGATTTATTTGCAGCATACGCGTATTGCTCAGTGGAATTTTTTATTATTGTTATTAATTATAGTTGAGATTAAAAAGGAAAAATTCTAAAGGGCAAATGAGACTGCTATTTGTATATGTGGCAAATGAATCCACCCTTACGAAACGAACGCAATACTCTGACGCGACCGTCGCGAAGTCACGAATAGATTTTTACTGAAATATCTTGGTACGGGCAAGCAGAACAGAGGATATTTCCGGATGTGCAAGACGGTAGACAAACGAAATGTTTTACTGAAGCAAAACCAGAAAAATATCTTCGTAATAAAAATCCGCCTTAAAAACTGTCTTTTAGAGGAAGCTGGCTACAAGCCTGCAAGTGTGTGTGAATAGAGAGCAAAAGAGTTCTACATGTAAGATGCCAATCGATAAACTCGGAGGTCATGACATCCATTTGATCCAAATGTTATGACGCTTCTTCATTGACAAGAAATGAGGACGTTACGATCAATCTGTTTTCACGAGCAAGACAACTCCGAGCATGGTCCGTTTCATAGAGATTCCATTTTCTTTTACTTTGTTACTTGAAGAATGGTACTACACTAGCAATCACAAGTTAGATTCAAAGGGCAAGAAACTCGAAACGGATTATTACGTACCTTCCGAACTCGTCAATAATACAGCGAAGAGGCTGACCAACATGGTGATTTCCATGGCTAGCTGTAGCTGTTGGTTTACAAAACAATGTTATAGCGACTAACGTATGTCTTGTTTTCTTTTTTGTTTCTGTTGAATCCTTCCTTTTACACTGGTTATATTTAGTCCTGTGAATGTCCGCCTCAGGTACAAATGACAGTGAAATGACGTAAATGCTTAATTCTGCAACAGGCGATGACAAGAGCCATAAGAGGAATGACCGATGAGGACAATGGGTGCCCGGCATTCAGTGACTTGAAAAGTTATTTCAGTAGAGAAAGAAAAACAGTAACTCTTAAGGGGGTTAATCCTGTCTTAAAAATAATAGTATGTTCAGTGTCCCGAAAGAATGTGATACGGCTACAATAGCAACGTTTTAGTCGTCTCTTTTTCCACTATCACGCAATCACCAGAAGCTTGGAGGGGGACTGTCCTAGGAAAACCGTGACCCCTCTTTTAGAATAGAAAAGAATAGTTCTTTAGTTAAACACGGTTAAAATTCTTCAGGAGTTTAAAGATTATAAATTAAATCTAACTACCCTAACCACAACTAACCTAACTAAGAATGGCGAAAAAAAGAAATTATGAGCCAATCGTTTAAATTGACTAAACAATTTAGCCTCTCTCATATCACAGGGTAAGCTGTTCCAGACAACTGCTCCGCTATATTTTAATAACTAAAGAAACTTAAAAGCTGTTCTTCATGACGTTGTTTGTTTGTTAAGAGAGTCCCCAGGGAGTAGCGCGTTTCATTTCGTTTAACAAATTTAGAGGATAAATATTTAGGAACAAGAGCTTTAAGACTTGTAAACCATCAAGGCTTTAATTTCTGTATTTGAAACTGAAAGCTCATGTCTCTAGTTGTCTTATTAAGCGGCTGGTGTCAGCATCGTTTCTAGACAAGGTTTAAAGGACAAGAGCAGCACGATTCTGAAGCTTCTGTAACCTTCGTCCGCATAACGTTTTAGCACAATTACTCCAGACAAGAATAAAATAATCGAAGCGATCTTTTTTATTTATTTATTTATTTATTTATTTATTTATTTATTTATTTATTTATTTATTTACTAGGGGTACCTTCCGGCAAGTGCCAACGAGGCGAATTCGATAACCTTTTGTGGGATGTGCCTAACGGTCCTTCGTGAATCGGTGGACAATTTTAGGGGTTTTAAATTGATTTGTCTATTATTACTAAAACCAAAATAAGAATTAATACAGGAGATTGTAAAGTGACTGTAAAAGGGTGGGGTGGTACGCCCTTATATTGCCTATACGGGAATGTGCCGCTGGACAGGGTATGGTTTTTGACCTCTCCGTCCCCTATTGTGTTTTTACTCTACAGTAATTGCTAATAAATTCATAAATAGCTTTAAACACGACGGCGCTTTTTTCGTTTATCCTAAACGAAGTATATAATTGGCGTTGTTGACCTAAGAGGGTATGTATTTAAGGATATTTTTGTTCTAAACAGGGTCAGGGTTTCAAGCCTCGGCGGTTCACCTGTACCTAAATATTTGTTGAGTAACCCCCTGAGGGGTTTGAAACAACAACTTTGGTACATTCTAGGTTAACCTGGTCACAGAAGCTTAAAGCGTCTTTGGTGGCAAATCTTCACTGCAAATCTTCACTGCGATAAACGTTAGGTAATCAATCCTTGAAAATTGAACTTGAACAAGTTAATAACAAGCTGTGTCTACTGTCTACACTACAGCAGTGCTTTGTTTGAAATTATTGAAATCAATGTATTAAGTGCCTATATGGTTGTTTTTTTTCATGGTATGAAACAACAAATACAACAATTGAATTTGTACAAACGAATTTTTTTAAATTCGTTGCACGTCTCAGTAATAAATATCAAAGTTTTATAACGTTCTTATAGATAGCAAAAAATGTAGGTAACAAAACTATGAACGCTTTTATTGTATTGGTCTGTTCACGAACTTAAATAACAGTTTCTTTTCCTCTTTGTTTCACTAGAGTTCACATGTCATTTTTTTGAAATTCTTTAACTTTGTCCACAAAATGGTTGATTTGTTTAGTACCACAGTACTTCCTGTGGAAATTACAAGTTTAGTACTTCTTTGACAGTGTTCCGTTGGGAGTTGTATTTCAATTTGACATCCTTTAGGCTCATAAGGGCATCTTCTATTTCATCTATGGTGCTGCTCATACTTGCTGTTGTATTCTTCAGGAGGTTTTCGATTTCATTTGTAAATGCAGTGAGCCACAATTCCGATTTATTGTTGAATGTTGAATACACAGCTTGACAGAGCCTTCCCGCCTTCAGTTGATGATCCTTTGTCGCACTTTGCAGTTTTGGCATCTCACTGACTCGCCCGACTCATCCCCAATTCGTTTTTTGCAAAGTTGGCATACACTAAAAATGCTTAAACTGGCAACATATTTTAGTTGACTTGCAATGATCTCTCTTTCTAATTTTTTGAGAGTTGTGGTTTCCTCACTGTAAGTTGTATTCCTGTTGGTGCTAAGGAATTTTGATCCTTGATAATACCGTAGTGTGAGGTTTTGAAAGTAATTATATAGCAGTCAGTTAATCCAGTATTGTCAGCACGGCTATTATCCTTTAATTTCTCAGAACTGTCCAATTTGGGATTTAATTTGGACAGTTTTCTATATGGAATTTGAGTAAAAATGCAGAAACTGTCCTGTTTGGGAAAAAATAGGACAGTTTGTTTCAGCCAATGAAATCCGAGAAAAAACAATGGATTGTGAAACCAACCAAACAGCAGTGAGCAAACGTCAGTACTGAAAGAAGGACAGGTCGCCATTGTTGTTGACAACATGGAGGAATTCAGTGAAGAAAATTTGCCAAATTTTTCCATCTTTAGCAGTTCTAACACAAATGAGAGATTTCCATGGTTGCAGGAAGAGGAAATTAATACTCTTAGAAGCAGAAACGAAAACTCAAACACCGCCAAGAGCACAAAAACGTGACTGAACGTTTTCAACGAGTGGAAACTCCTGCGTAACGAAGCGAGATGTTTTGAAGATATCCCTCCAGAAGAGCTAGATGCAATTCTCTGCCGCTTCTTTGCCGAAATTCGAAAAAAAGACGGCGGCGAATATGAACCAGAAAGTCTGGCAGTGATGCAGAGCGCGTTGGACCGCCATTTAAAAAACGCTGGCAAAAAACACAGCATCTTGCGAGACCGCGAATTTGAAAAGTCAAGGCAACAACTTCAGGCGAAAGCAAGAGAATTGAGAGTGAAGGGTTACGGAAAGCGAAAAAATGCATCAACAACAACAACAACAACAACAACAACACTTTATTTCACCCCAAATATACAAGAAATAAAAATTTATAACAATAGTACAGACAATGATAGGGGCGCTGGCTGCCCGAAATAACCTAAGAGTTAAAAATGCCAGGCAGCCAGTTAAAAGAAAAGATGTTTAAATGTTTAGGTCAGGGACACAAGAACAAAGAAAACAGAGAAACACACACAAATAGTTAAGTAAACTACCAGTATATAAAGAGACTAAAATTCATACATTGCAAAACAGTATTATTTCCATTTTAAAGTTACCCAGACATCTCACGCTTTGAATGAAGAAGGCGAAGAATTCCTCTGGCAGTCAGGTCAGCTCGGTAAACATTCTGCTCAAGCTCTGTCAATGTAAACTTTAAAAATGTCACAGAACACTTTGGCCTCCGAGGGAGACAAGAGCACTATTCAATGATGGTGGAAGATTTCAGCATCATAACCAGTCCTGACAGTTCTTCCAGCAACAGTTTCAGTACCATCAACAACTTTACAGGTACAGTGAATTTCAATGGTGCATTTCCTGGCTTTCCAGGTCTATCTAATATGCCAGTGCCAACTCACCAAAGCACAGAGCCACGACGTACATGGAAAAGGATCAGAGCTTCTGTACTCTCAGACTCAGATGAGGACTAGCTATTGCTGACTGTACAAAAACTTTAAATTTACACCTTTCTTGTATTCATTGTAGTTTTGCACTTTTTTAATGCGTGCGTGTTTTGTACAGACTAAAATAATTAATTTTATTTTTTCTGCACTTTGTTAATTGATTCTTTTCTTAATCTTTTCCATCTTTATTGTGTGTGTGTTATTTCTTTACACACTTTTATTTCTTGATATTGAAAACTGGATAGTTTCAAAATAATGAAATTCTAAATTTTTTGACCTTAAAGTTTTACAGTATTGTTACATTTATTATATTTATTAATTCAATTGTGATAATGAAATTCATTTCTATTTGGACTACAGCATGTATTTAAAAATGAATTAAAATTAAACAATTATTAAGATTTCAGTCTGTTTTTTATCAGAGACAGTTCCCATAGTTTTCCTTGCGAAGCTGTATTTCCTCACTAGCTATATAATTAATAAGTAAGACGACTACATGCTTGTCCAATTTGGAAATAATTGGATTCAAAAAATTCCTATGACAGCCAAATTGGACTCGGCCTACGGCCTCGTCCAATTTTGGCTATCCTCGGAATTTTTTTCATCCAATTATTTCCAAACTGGACAGCATTTAGTCCTATTACACATACTAATAGGCCTTATTGCTTTTCAGTTGTGTAAATAACGGTTCCCATATATGGAGTTCCATTGTGCCCGTTTCGTCTTCCAATATGCAGTCTTCTTTGACAGATAAAGCTTGACTGGATTTGGTTTCTATCTTGTTTGGCTCCTGGGCTCCCATGGACAGAGTTGCATGGACGTTGACTTTCTGATTGGGCGCCATTTCTTTCAGTTCTCGTAAAGAGACATCAGACGCTTCCTGTGATGTTGATTCGGAACCTTCTGACTTGACAAAATTTGGTACATAGGAGAATGGTACATCAGTATTTGCACACTGCGAAACATAGGATTGTTGGTTGAAAAGCCAGTCGTTGTCTTCATCATCTGGTATAAGAAGGTTCTTTAACAAGACGGGAGACTTGGTTTCTTGGAAGTGCTTGATCTTGGGATGTTTTGTTTTGTCAAATCCAACTACCCTTTGCACTTTAGTCGGTTAAACTTGCAGGTGAAAGTCAAACCAATCATGTCTGGACCTTGCAGCGGTTTTGACGGGGGATATTTTTTGGATGTACCCATACTTGTTTACTAAACGAAAGAAAAGCAAACAAATTCAGGATGCATGTTCATCAATGCGCTTACAGTGGAACAAATATATGGTTCCTCTTTCTTTTTCGTTTTAATGTGAAGTGGCCATGCTTCATGACAGCACTTGACATAAAGAAATTCTTAACTTCATCGAATCATGAAACTTTTGCATGTTCAGTTTTGCCCACTCTTGTTGCTGAAGCTCTCCACAGTTACTTATTTTAAACTCAGATAAATACATTTCCTAGCTGGAAACTCCATTTTTCAGACTTGTTACTCCTTCAGTCATTACACTACTATCTGAATTTTTTTTCTTGAGCCTGTATACCCGCATGTACAACTTTTTTCTTTCCTTCACTTCACTAGATGTTTGTGAAGACCTTTCCTTACTTCCTGTTTAGGTCGTTTAACGTTTTCATCTGCATAATATGTATCACTTGAGGAATTAATGCTTTGACTTTTCCGCTTCATTGTAAATTTAATTACTAAATCATTTCTTTGGTTTTCATTTCTTTTACGTATTTCTAATTTGCCCCTTTCGTTTAAGTCAAGTTCAGAATAAGTTTTAGCTCTATACTTCTGCATGTATGCATTATTTTTTGCCTTGACCTCTGGCTGTTTTCTGTAACACTTCATATAGTTATTACATTTGACGCTGTTATCCTTTTTATAACTTGTGACTTTTTGGTCTAACTTCACTTCTTTCGTACTGCAAGAGTCTTTTGAAACTGATTTGCAAACAACTGGATTTATGGTGAAGCTATTACAGGTCTGATTTGCAGATTCATGTAAATTGATGTCTACAGACTCAGACTTTTGAGATATGGCAAAAAAAAACAGCCATCCGGATATTTAAACACCTAACAATTCCTTTGAGATGAAAGAACTCCTAAGGTTTCCATATCATGTGGAAAAAACATTTGAGTTATACAGTCAGGTGACAATTCTATCATTAAAAAGGTTGGCAGGCACACAAAGTGTCGAAGTGAAGCAACACTTCCAGAATGATTTTGGCAGTAAACACAAAAAAGTCAATTGATGTTTGGCAGCATAGCTTCTGATAAAGAACTTTCAAAACCATTCTGATTTATATGGCGATAGGTAATATACAAGACAAAAACATCTGTGGATTTGGTGATTTCCTGGTTACACTCTGAACAAATGGAATGATTGGTATGTTGAATAAGAAATAATGATTTTAAAGCAAAGGTTTATTCTCCAAATGTATTGATTTGGAATATGTCACTGAATACAGCATTATCTGACATACCTGTAAAAGAGGCACAGTGCTGTCTCATCCAGGCCCAAATGGTTTCTCGGACTGAATAAAACTGGTTGGAAAGGATTTGACCACTATTTACTTGCACACATGATGTGTATAACATTTCAAAAAATTCATTACGTTCCTCAGACTCAATAGCATCTTTAAAAATGTAACAGCTTAACTCCATAAAACAATCAATTGCACATGAGAATTTTCCTGGAAAATCAAGGCAGTAATTCCTGAAATGCATTTGCTCAACGGGGAGGAATGCATGAACGAGGCAATGACTGCGATATTTCTTTACCAAAACGTTCTTGTAAAAGTGGTTTGGTTTGGGAAGATTTACGGGAGTTTGAATCCTTTGACAATGTTGGATTTCCATTGACCAAATGTGCTTCCTTGTTTGTTATTATCTAAGGATTAAAACTACCTTTTGAAGCATACGTCGCCCCATGTAAGGGAATCCGGATTCCGGAATCCAGGAATTTTTTGCTCGTGGAATCCGGAATCCTGGGCTTTGGAATCCGGAATCCAGCACTAAGAATCCGGAATCCTACTAAAGATTAGAATCCGGAATCCAACTTACTAAAGGTCCACTCCAGATTAAATTGAGCTACTCGCTCGTAAGAAAAACCATCCGTGGGGGAGAAATGAATGCGTGACGAACGAACCCCAAAGGACGTCTGCGGGGAGGCTAGTCTATGGAAAGCCTCTCGAGGGTGTAGACCTGAACGTGACGACATAATATCGGCACATCTGGTGTCAAAACAATGGTTCACGAGCTCCATATGAAAGGTCGAGGTCAGGGCCACATGATTAAAATTCTATAATAGAGGGAACCCTTGCTTATGAGCGGCTGGGAGGATCACAAAATTGGGGGTTTACAAGGGAACACAGCACAGCCTTTTTAAGGTTTAAATTGAATTGTTATGAATAACTTCAAACTCTGGCTATGTTTGATTCTCTGTTGTTCACTCGCTTCGCTGAACTTTAAAAAATCAAAAGCGATTTTATGCGAGCTTTTTGACCTAGCATAGGACTGGAAAAGGTGCACCTGGGGTGAACCTTTCCTTGAACCTTCATGGTCCTCCTGGTTCACAAATGAAAATAAACGTCTACGTTCAACAGTTTACCTAAAAAGAAAAAAAAGAAATTCACAGTCTCCTAGTGCCTAATTTGGTCCTAGTAGTTTCGCTGAGAACAGTTTCATGGTTTCGATAATCTTTATTTGAGAAATAAGCCAGGAACTGTCAGAACCGTACCAATCAGCTGTCACTAAAGTAATCACGTGCAAGGACGCGGTGGGTGCCTTTTTCATTCATCCCCCGGCATTCGAGTGAAATCTCGCCACCTCTTCGATCAGACCAGTTTGAAGTTTGTTGTTTGTTGGATTTTTCTTTTCTACTGTTATTGGAAAGCACAAGCAAAAACAAAAGGCTGAGAGAGAAAGGTACCTGTAATACTGTGTTGTGAAATTTTATACCATTTTTTAGCTGACTGCGATTGATCTAAACGTGCCAAAAGCAAAGCTTCATGATTTTTCGTTTGTGTCGATCTATGGACTGTACTGAACATGCCGGCAAGCAAGTCACAATCATGAACAAAAGAAACGTTAAGTTTATAGTTTTAAGCCCGCTGATTGATTTTTTTCTCAATCATAATTGAATGTAAGGAAAATTTTACGTCGTCCTTGGGGAAAATATCGTATACATCGTTTTAAAAGCGCTTAAAACGAGCCAACGTGACAGAAACGCGCAAGTCTCTCTCGATCTCTCAGTCATCTCAGACTCGATCGAGGATCAGACGGACTTTTAATGTTTTCTGGTTCTACAGTTATGATAAGGCCTCGTTCACATTGAGGTCGCTCTTGGAAATTAGACCGATATGAGATCGGTTTAGCCCGTATTTTTTTTTTCTTTGAAATGGATCCTAGAGCCACCTAGAACGCGCTAATAGGATATAAAACTCGCTGGGGATTTCATAATCTCACACTCAGATCTCTTACTTATTGATGAAGCCAAAGGCGAGATCTGGTCAAATCCGATTTTGTACCCGTGATTGCCTGTCAAGAATGTGACAGGCCATGAAAGAGCGTATGCTTGAAATTAATCCTCAATTTTTGACGTGTTAAACAACGAATTTGAAAGAGCCGTGAAGTTTTTCTATGAAAACGTGGTTATGCGCACATTTAACGCGACAGCTGGGGCCAGATCTCGCCTTTGGCTTCGTCAACAAGAGATCTGGGTACGAGATTAGGGATTTCATTGACCTCTAGGGCGAGGGAGAGGGGGTGGTTTGCTCTCGCATGCTGTCCAGCAAGGATGCTTGCGTAGCGTAAGTCAACAAAGAACAAACAAGTTCAGCTCTACAGTATTGACTGAACGCGGGCAAATCAGGCAATCTTTGACTACGTTTTGAGCCGTTTTGTCTATTAAGCCACTTTTTGAGCTCGATTTAAGTGGTTAAGCAACAACTAGACCAAGTGACTGATAGTTTTGGGCTTGCAGACTGTCAAGAGCTACTGACTTTTTATCTTTATTTTGACCAGTCAAAAACGTCGAGACGTGACAGCGTAAAAATTTATTTAGAAGATCAACGTGGTCCGGCCACTGCTCTTTTTGATTTGTCAATCTTTTACTGAGTATATATGCTTATCCCGTCCTAGGAGAAGTGTATTTTTTTGTATTTGGCTAAAATTGGTGTCTTACGAGTCATATGAGAAAGTGTGAAAGCAATTCAGTTAAGAAGTGATATCTAATGCGCGTGTTCTACAGCTTACTGTGTCTCTATAAATGAAAGTTTTACAAAAGAGCGGTAACCGAATTTAGTTTTGTGCACTATGACAATGATTCCAATAAAAAGAAGAAAAAGAACGAAAAACAATGTCCTAAAACGTGTTAAGAACCAAGCTTTTTTTCGTCATAGTTTGGAGGTGATTAGCAATTGGCGACTTTTAACGTTTTGTTCAGTTCTACTACTTCGAAATACTGTTTTAATGTTCCAAAAGAATTTGCAAACATGATTCGATGTAGCCTTTTCCAGGCGTTTGGACAGGACAAGGAAAACTACGAATGTAACGACATACAAACAAAATGAACCTTCTATTATGTTATTGGTGGATAGCAAAAGACTTGATTAACCTTCGCTGGTTTATGATATGGCACAGATAGGAAAAATTGATTTGGAGTTACACACGAACTTTGTTAGGCCGTTTTCTTGCAAACTGCAGCTCGATTTTCTCTGGCAATGACTGTACCTTTTCCCAATACTTTATTATGTAGCAGTCAAATGAATAAACGTGAATATTTAGGAATGATTTGCAAGAGTTCTTTTGTTTCTGCTAATTAAGCATTTTTCTATCTGCATAACTGAAAATAGAGTTCGCAAAAATAGAGTAAGTGAAAAATAGAGTCTTGAGGTCAGTCTCACTCTCTTAACTAATCACTAAACCAGCTCCGAGATCCGAGATCCGGAGATTTGGACTAGATTAATCAAGGGTGTCTGTAAAACGCGGACCGGATACCTGCGGATGGCGGATGCGGATGGGAAAATGCGGATAGAAAAATGCGGATAACAAAAAAACTACGAAGAAAAAAACGAGAAATGTGGATGGCAAAAAAAAAAATAATAAAATAAAATAAACAAACAAACAATTAAGAAAAGAAATATTTCTTTCAAGTAACTGTCACATGGTTGAACCCTTCACTTACATTCAGAACGTGATGCCAATAGTTGGCACAGTTTTGTACCCTGTAATTACTTTCATTAATATCACAGAAAAAAGGACGCTCCGTTCTTCCTCCTTAAATGCACACATACTTGGTGCACTTCTACTTTGAGTGTTTAGCTTAAGGCTTCCAGGCAATGTAAACAGCTCAAAAAATCGGCTAGCAAAGGAGGTGTCTGCAAAACGAGGACTTGATACCTGCGGATGGCGGATGCGGATGGGAAAATGAGGATGCGGGAGTTTAATTTTGCCGATTACGTGATTTTTTTTTCCACCTCTTCGGGAAATAATTTTTGCGATTGATCAAGAGGTCTGTTTTGTCTTTTCAATCTGTAGTATATTTTGCAATTTTAAAAATTCGAACTCATTATTCGTGCACTTATAAATTCCCAAAGGGTAGAACTTGTAAAAAATAAATCCACATGATAGGCGGTGTTGATTGCATCTGCCAAATCGGAAAGTTATGTTTTTACGTTCGGCCTTTTTTCTGGTTGATACTGCAATTTTTTCTGTCTTGGGCCGCTCAAACAAATAAGTCTTGATTTGATTCCCCTGAGAATATTCTTTCTCTAAGTTGAGTACACTCTATCCAGTGAGAGCATAGAAATCCAGGTCACAATGATTTTATATCAAAAATTGTTTGTCGTTTGTTTTGCAAGTACTAACACCCATGCCTCCCCTTCTTAGCGTGATAACCATGAAATTCCTAATAAAGTAATGTTTAAAAAAATATCGATCACTCCCGGAAGTAAAGACAGACTGCTTCGTGAATTACACCGCTTTAGGATGTTGGTCTGGTAATATTCTGCATTGCAGGGACCACTGGCTCTTTATTTGGTAAAGGGAAGAATATTAAACGGGGACAGTGCAAAATAAGCGAACCTTTGCTAGCCGATTTTTGCAGCTGTTTACCTTGCCTGGAAGCCTTAAGCTAAACACTCAAAGTAGAAGTGCACCAAGTATGAGTGCATTTAAGGAGGAAGAACGGAGCGTCCTTATTTCTGTGATATTAATGAAAGTAATTACAGGGTACAAAACTGTGCCAACTATTGGCATCACGTTCTGAATGTAAGTGAAGGGTTCAACCGTGTGACAGCTACTTGAAAGAAAGATTTCTTTTCTTAATTGCTTATTTGTTTATTTTATTTTATTAATTTTTTTTTGCCATCCACATTTCTCGTTTTTTTCTTCTTACTTTTTTTGTTATCCGCATTTTTTTTTCCATCCGCATCTTTCTATCCGCATTTTCCCATCCGCATCCGCCATCCGCAGGTATCCGGTCCGCGTTTTACAGACACCCATTAATCAAAGGACAAAATTTATAATTGCGATATCGGTGTTTCGCCACATTTTTTTGCGGTGATGCGATGTTTGTTATTTTTTTCCGCGGTGTTGCGGTGTGGACAGTCCCCCAATGTCCCTCTCATTATTATACCTTAAACCCTTACGGAACAGTAATACATTTCTTCACGTAATTTATAAATCGAAAAAGAAAACAAACTTGTTATGCATTCTAAACAACGTCTTTCAATATAGCAAGATTCGAACATGAAAACGAAATGCGAAGAAGAGCATTAAAACAGAAAAAAATTTGGAATCCAGCCCTTTTTGGAATCCGGAATCTACTGAGCTGGAATCCGGAATCCAGTACTCGGAATCCGGAATCCACAGGGTGGAATCCAGAATCCAAGACTGTCATGGATTCCCTTACATGGGGCGAAAAGCATGTTAAATTACAGAAATCAGATTGAACCTCATCGATATAAGTTTGTTGCTTTTGGTCAGATAGATAGCACCGGAACCAGTTAAGAGATTGAGAACTGACCCTATAGAGTTTACGCTTTCCAAGTTGGGTAGCATGATCCATGGTGTCACAGGCTTTTTCAAGCCCAGGTATATCACACCATTTTGTAAGTGAGTAAGTAATCGTTTTAATAGCAGGGTTTCCACATTGTGGCTTTTCATCTGTTACTTAAAACTAAAACTAAAAAATATGTATCGAATATTTACAATAAAAGTTACTACAAAAATAATAGAACGAATAACGATTAAAAGAGAAAGTGTTTACAATGATCATATGAATAAAACGTAAAGTACAATTAAGATAAGCTGGCCTGTACCCGAAAATTCGCGAACTAAATAGGTTAAAATAGTCACACCTCTTAAGACTAAAACTTGTAATCTTAAACCCCGAAGAGCGCAAACTTCTACATATACTGGAGTCTCTCTGTAAGTTTAAATATGAAGGCCACCCCCAATCCTTAGCTTGAAGTGCTTTAAAAAATTTAGGAGATTGTTAACAATATTTCATAGCCATTCATTTGTTGCTTCAAGTAGAAAACAGAGGTCTTAAGCCAGATTGTGATTCAGTAAACAAGTTGTTATTATTTAGATATTCATATAGTTGGTTATACAACAATTCTCTCAATTAATTTACGTACTACAGGCAGAACCGAGATAGGTCTATAAGATATATAACATCAGTCTTCAGGCCCTCTTTAAATATAGGCGAATGTTAATGCCCCTTGTTGAAAGTAACCAGCAGACGATTAACTAAAAATAGTTCTTTTATCCACTTTTGATATTGTTTATGTTTACTGATAATCGACAATCACTCACAGTTGAAGTATCAACATTTTTTCACAACCATAAATAACGACATATTTAATTATTTAAGTTATCTTTTATCTGCCTGACTGAAGCCTTCAGGCCCCGGCCACACGTATCAGAACATTTCTGAAACCGCGTATGTTTTTTACACAAATAGGTCAAGGGATGAATGAGCAAATTCACTGGTTTCATGTGTACGGAAGGCGGACTCACGACGGTAAAAACGAAGGTTTCAAAAAAAACCGAATTCATGAGGACGGGACGTCAGATTATAATCGGTCTGAAATAACACTGGATAATGACCAATAGACACTTTTCGGCAAAGAATTCAGTTTTACAGCAATAACGACGATTTTAGCATTTTTACACGTGTTTCTGAAATCTGGTAAAACTAAAAATTGGGTTAAAATTCAATACAATACACTCCGCAACCCCAAGAAGTACCTATAAAATACACACATTTAGAAAATACTTACTGGAGATGATACAGAAGTATTTTGTACCACACCAATATTGTCACAAAGCCTCGGGTTTCAGCACGGTTCATCTCCATGGAACCTCCAGTTAAA